CTCAAGGTTAGATTATTGTAATGCTTTATTGGGTGGTTGTTCTGCACGCTTAATAAACAAACTCCAGCTGGTCCAAAATGCAGCAGTAACTAGAACCAGGAAGTATTGACCATATTAGCCCGGTTCTGTCAACACTGCACTGGCTCCCCATTAAACATCGTATAGATTTTAAAATCTTGTTTATTACTTATAAAGCCCTGAGTGGTTTAGCACCTCATTATTTGAACGAGCTCTTGTTGCATTATAGTCCTCCACGTCTGCTGCATTCTCAAAACTCTGGCAATTTGATAATAGAATATCAAAATCAACTGCGGGCGTCGCTGTCACCTCTGGCTTGCTTAGTTGGGGACACTTAATTTCCAGGGATATCGTCGACTTGATTGCACAGATACTATTTAAACTGAAAAAGCTGGATGATGACATCACTGAATTCAATGATGAACTGCCTTTAACTGAAAATTGAGTGTTTACTATTGTCATTTTGCATTATTGACACACTATTTTCCTAATTAATGCTGTACAGTTGCTTTGACACAATCTGTATTGTTAAAATCGCCATATAAATAAAGGTGACTTGACTTGACTTGACTAGAGGGTGTGCCATTTCCCAGTGCCTTTCATGCAAATTACCATCTGTCCCCAAAAGGTGTAATCTCTCCATGTCTAGGACTTGATCAATGCAAATTCCAGTTCCTGTCTCCATTTGAGGGATGTTTGTCTTAGTCTGAATACTTAAGGAAATGTTGCAAGAAGATCAGGGCACTTCTGTAAGCCAGATGAGCCCGTAGTGTGGAGTGTGTCCATACACTCCAAACTATGTATTTTTCTTAAGTCAGATATGCATCCTTTTACTCTTAGATTTATCTTTAAGAATTTGATGTTTTGTATTGATTTGATTTGATTTGATATCTCTGAATTGGCTATGTAATACATAATAATGGAATTATACATTTTTACCTGACTGATAATAAATTGTTTCATTTGATTTTAGACAAAATAGACAAAATACTATTGGAGTACTAGTAAGCATGGTTCGGGCATACTTCATAGTATAGCCATGACCTCTGGTTATTTTCTCAGCTTTATTCAAGTTGTTATATAGTTAGATTAACTATAGGGGGCTAGATAAAAACAGTATTGAAGTATTAGCATATTTCATAGTGCTAGCCATAACCTCTGATTATTGTCTGAGCTTTAACTAAGTTGTTACACAGGTGAATGTAGGGGACTAAACAGAACCACTATTTAAAAAATGACAAGCATGAGGCGGTCTATTAAATAGTTCCGAGGTCACCGTAGCCACCCAGATCCAGTCCATATCCAGCCCAGATGGTGGATCAGCACCTAGAGAGGACCTCTACAGCCCTGAATTTCAGCGGCGATCAGGACAACTAGATGAGCCCCAGAGACAGTGAAATGACAAGCATGAGGCGGTCTATTAAATAGTAGTCATAACCTCTGACTAATGATCAGACTGGAGAGTTTGTGATCGTGAGATCTGCGTACACCGGCTGAAGCGAGAACCTCTGAGCGACATAGATTCCTAATGAACGAGTAAAATATAGAGTTAATTACAATAATGAAATGTCAGAAGAATAATAATTAGAAATGGACAAACAACCAATTTGCATTTCAATCCAAATTCGAGGTCATAATAAAATGGAGTCAGATTAGAATTTAATTTAAATTAAATAACTTTGAGCACCAAAAAGACCAAACGTGCAGGAAACCTTCGACCGCCGTTGGATACCTTTGTTGGGCCAATTGCGTGGACCTTACAGCACTGAAGTCTATTTTGGACACAGATGTTGGGGATGGGATGGGGATGACCTGCATGGCCCTGGAGAGAACAGTTAATTAGATCTGAACCTGGTGCCTCACAGGGGATTGTTTGTCTATTCTAAAAGGGTGCAGAAGTTTGGTTTAGAAGTTTAATGCCCACAACTGACTGTTCCTCAAAAGAACCACCTATAATTACTAAGCAATGTTAATACTTTAGCACGACACCATAGAGATCCTCTAGGCCAGTGGTCTCCAACATGGTGACAGTGGGCACTAGGTAGCCCACATGTAATCTGTGATTCACCCACCAAGCACGCTCTATAAATAGCCTGAATTAAGGCTGGGCGATAAACGATATATCAAGATCACTTTAAAAATGTATGTGGATAATGATGATACGCTCTGGACATTTTCACTCAATATTAATCAAACAGCCGATCACACTGCATGTTTTTCATGTCTCTGTGTAAATGAATGGTACGGTTGCGTCTGTTACACACAAACTCAAACAAACGTTACGCTCACAGTGTTTCAGCATCTGCATCTCAATATACGAGGACATGAACACATGAAATTCATCTCAAGAGCTGCTCTGACAATCACTTCACAAAAACTGCCGTCTAATACATGCTGAAACTAAAACTGAAAGATCTTCATGACAAACCATCAAAATAAAACTGTTTTAACTTGAAGAAGATATGACAGAAATATATTACTACTGTATATTAAAATGTAATTCTCAAATTATGAATAATAATATTATAGTATTTTTAAGGATTATCATACAGCCAAGTTATTTTTTGATTTTTTTTATACAGTTCTGTTGTGCAGCATCTTATTTGAAAAAGATAAAATGTTGTAAATTAATTGTTTTCATTTGATTGCTTTTTATAAGATTGATTACATTTTGTTTTATTAACTAATTACATTAAACACAATTTTTATGATACATTTCTATTGAATCATTAAAACACAGAATCCATAAAATGAAAAACAGAATATCTGGAAAAAATAAAAATGATTTCATGGGGCCCTAAATTAAAAGGTAGCTTACTCTGTGGAATTTAATTGTGTGAATAATGCTACATTTATATTAAAGCTATGTTTACATTCATTATCAAGGTCTATCACATGGAGAGCATTTTCTTCCCCATTAATGGTAAATGAATATTGTGATAAATAACGATATTGTGTGATATGAGGAAAAAATAGCCTATTTCTATATATTTTTTCTGGAATATTTTCCAGGATTGATTCTTGAATAAAATAATAATAAAAAATAAATAAAATAAAATGCTTGTGAGAAATCATTAAAATTTATTAAGTCAGGATAAGCCAGTTCATTATTATTGTAGTAGGTTCCTCCACAGGAGACAGCACAAACTGTACGTTTTACACTTTTTATGTTATTAGAACAATAATATATTAAAATAAGCAAATATTCACTTAACAATGTCATTTCATTCTTATTGATGGTCTGAGTTAATAATAACTAATAAAAACCTAGTCATGTAGAAAAAAATCTTCACATGAGAAATCAGAATTATCTCTATAACAATAAGACAAAAAAGTCCACTTATACTTTTCCTTTAAAGAATGTTCAATACTCGAAAGGGATAAATCACCCAAAAATTCAAATTCTTTCATAATTTACTAAACCTTACCTATTAGCCAATGACTTTAATGATTGTGCTGAAGGATTGTACAGAAACAGACTTTCAAAAATAAACCAAGCCGGAGGATTGTTCCCTGAGGTAAAAAATGTGACAAGCCACGGTCTCCCCTATACAATTAGTGTGGTACAATTAACTCTGCTTTGCATGCACATTTGGTGCAGTTCCAATCACTCACTGTAGTCGCTGTTCTCATCTTTGATGCCATCGATGGTTCCATCTGGCTGCATCTGCAGGTAAAAACCCTGCTGGCTGAACAGTCGTGTCACAATGCCTTTCAGCTGCGGCTCTGGAAAATAAACACACAGCCCCGACCCAACCCACATTTTTATCAGAATTCACCCCAACAAATTGCATCTTTTTCCAGCATGAGTACAAAAGCTTGTTAAGAAGAAATAAATTATTTTAAATAAGCTCTTGACTTCTTATCCAGTAATGGCAGTGAATGTACTTGTGAATGGATGTGTTGATAAAGCTCTGCATATTTGCTCTCTGCGACCTCATTAATCACTTTCACTATGGACACCTGGAGTTTAGAAGTCCAGCTGTAGCAATAACAGGTGTTTTCTGATGGAGTGGTGACCTGTACAAGCAGGTACAATAAATGTTTAAAGGCAGGCCTGAGAGGCGAGGAGTGAAGAGGGCCACATGGATGACCTGGCATGCAGCAAAGTCACACAGCTTTCAATACAGCTCAGAAGAGTTGTGAATGTCCATGATGGTCATAATCAGCTATTCATCAAGGGCCCCATCTATCCACTGCAGACCCAATCTCTGACAGGCTGGAAGGGCCATCAATCACATGAACGAGCCTACATCCATTAGGCAGAACATTACTAAATCACATACAGAATCCACACCTCTATAAATAAAGACTGGCATAGGGGACCCCATAGGAAATGATTCTAACCTGGGGAAAAGGTTTTGGGTTTAATACATGGGTAACCTTAGCCATCTTCAATAATCGGCAAAAACACATCTCTTCCATCTTTATTTGACCCTCTAACTCTAGCACTCTCTATTCTAATTCTATTCTAAAAAAAAAACACTTGTCCCTTTTAGACTTGCACTCTATTGATTTGCTGCTTGTTTTCTTAAAAAAAAACTAACACTTGCTTTCTAACCTTTTTGTATTCTATCTGTTTTCTTTTCATTTATTATACAATTAACAAAAGCAAAAAGACCTCTAACACTAGCTTGCTCTATTCTTTTTCTATTCTATCTGTTTTCTTTTTATTTATTATATTTTCTTTTTTAAAAACCCTTGCTACGTGTACTGCGTTAAGCTAACTGAGACTTGTTATAGCACTTGTATATCATTGCTCTTTTGTTGATTTTGATTGCTTCCATTGTCCTCATTTGTAAGTCGCTTTGGATAAAAGCGTCTGCTAAATGATTAAATGTATATGTAAATGTAACATTTCACAATAAGGTGTCATTTGTTAACATTAGTTAATGTATTAAGTAGCATGAACTAACAATGAGCAATACATTTGTTACAGTATTTATTAATCTTTGATAATGTTAGTTAACATGTTAGTTCACAGTGCATTAACTAATGTTAACAAATACTTTTGATTGTAATAATGTATTAGTAAATTTTGAAATTAACATTAAGATCAATAAATGCTGTAGAAGTATTGTTCATGCTTAGTTCATGTTAACTAATACAGGTAACTACTGTTTACTAATGACCCTTATTGTAAAGTGTTACCAATACATGTATGTGGGTCAGTGTGTGCTGAATCTCTTGGTAACATGTCCATGTCATATTTCCCCTGATGCAAAAACAAAAACAAAACAAACAAACAAAAAAAGCATAAACAATTGGAGACTATTGAAGGTCTATTACGTTTTTCATGATGATTAAGCAGAATTTGTTTTGCCAAATTTTCATTACAAATTCTCATTACTAATGCATCTAGAGTTTAGACACTACGTTTTAATGTAAGTCCGAATATTAGAACTGTAATAAAGTCATTTTTTCCAAAGAATAAAACATAAATAAAAGAGTACAACAAAAATAATGTAACAATGTAAAAAAAAAAGCACTAAATTGGGATTAAATGTCTTTGTGCAAAATAATATTTCTTCTTCCCTTTCACTGGATTTTTGGGGTGAAATATGACTCGGACATGTTCCTCACATGTGAGTTTGTGCGATTAATGTACATGCATGCCTCTACCCATAATGTATAGGAATGTATGCACTCACATGTGGATTTAAGCCTGTGTGCACCTGGATATATGCATGAGATAATGCATGTCATATTTGCATCAACACTGTTTGCATATTTTCCCCTTACAAAGTTGAACCATACATGTTCCATATGGCCCCATTCCATAAACAGAAACAGTTACAATCGGATGTGTTGGTAAATGATGTCATGATCATGAAATAGTGAATGGTAACCTCGACTACTTAAGTCATCACAACTGAAAGAAACACAACACATCAGCAGCACAGAGCAAACACGAGCCTCACTGCACGGAAACAAACAGAGGGGACAGAGTACACATAATGATGGGGACAGAAACATAATGTGTAGAGTGTAGAGAGATAAAAAAGGGATCAGAGGGGAGGAAAGAAGGAAAAAAGGAGGAAGAGACAAAGAGGAAAAGGCATAAGAAATACTGTACATAAAAATAACACAAAGACGGAGAGATAGAACAATAGTCGGAAACATACTACAAGGACAAGGCAGACATTGGTGACTGCCGTTAGACAGGAGCTAGTCCCCCATGAGCACGAAATGGGGTGGGTAACTGGAAGACACAGCACAAGGATGGAGGCTGAGCTACTGACCTAGCCTGATGCCCTTACGGGATACCTGTGGAGGTTTCGAGGGCACATCTTACGGGGGAGAAGGAAAAACAACATTTTTACAGACAAATCCTTCAGCAACAGCCGTCAAATAACTGATCATATGTTGGGAAGAGGGGATATGCTTGTTCTACATCATGAGAAGGTGTTTTGAAGGAGGAAGAGAGGACAGCTGTGTAGTTTTTTTTTTATAATTTCACACGCTTCGTGCCATTTTATGTGAGCCGAAAAAGGACAATAGCGTGGTTCAGTGGGCAGTGAGACCATGCCCATCAATAAAACTAAGTAAACAATCTCTCCCCATACTGCAGTAAAATAGTCTCTGATGGAAAATCCATCTTAAGCTGGTAGCTGTGGTTTCTAGCTGGTGCGAGTATTAATTGTTGTAAATACCAGCTTGACCAGCTTAAGGTGGTATGACCAGCTGGTTACTTGTTTGTTCCTGTTTCAAGATTGTTCTGTCATATTACAAAACACAATTTAAACGGGATCTTCCATCAGGGAAACATTTACCACTAAACATTTAATCTAAGAAAGCCGTGGTGCACTGCAGTGCCACTTGATTCTGACTATTACTAAATTGCATTGTTGCACTATAAACATCTTCTTCTTTTAACAATCACACAGCCTCTGATCAAAATGTCAAAATGCCAGCCACTGAATTAATTGATAACAGCAATAATAATATTAATAAAACATATCAGATATATCAACATAAAACGGCTGTGCAGTCAGATTGTTAGGATGACAAATCGGTTGGTGAATACCGATAGACAGCACGTGAGCTATGAAACAGGTGAGATTTTGGGGGGAGGCGGCATTGCAAAAAAAAATAATAATAAAAAAAATACATTGGAGGATATATATTCCTTCAGAGGAGCTGTAGACTGCAGCAGAGGCTTCGGTGGGGGCTGATGTCTTAAAAAGCATCCAGCACTGACCTGGTCGCCGGCGAACAGGTCTTTTCTTGCCGCTGCAGAAGCGGACTTTACTGAAGACCCCCAGGAAATGTCGCTCGCAGAGAGAGCGGGGGTCTTTGCTGGGACTGGGGCGGCGTTTGGAGGCAGATACCCGATCGCTGTTGAATTCCCGCGCCTGGCGTTTTTGTCGGATCAGAGAACTGGCGATCGCGGCCATCTCGAGTATTCAGTTAAATGAGCTGTTCAACGTTTGCAGCTGTTAACGCAATAACTGGGAATAATAAAGAAACAAGACTGGATTGTCTGCGCAAAATTAGCCAGATTTCATTCCGATTCCTAGCGAAAAATCCAGAGGATCCTGTGAATTAGGACTGGAATCTCATCCCCTTCTCAGACGATCTACCCAGACGGCTGTGAGTTTCACACACGATTACATAAAGCACATTTTCCGTTCTCCATCTTAGAAGCAAAAAAATAAAATAAAATAAAATAAAAATAATAACAACAATAAAAAAATAAAAAACAATAATTAAAAAGACGTCCTACGTGAACATGGGTAACCTGTCACGCAGGTATTCCAGGTGCCGAAGACAACTGACGCGTAATTCGTCTTTCAAGCCACTGCTACATGATCCACATGTCTAGTTCATTCCAGATAACTTTGCATGAATCCGGATAATAAATGAAGTCCATGACACAAGAAAGCGCGTTCTCAGGCTCTATAGGCGTATATGAGTGACGCGCGCACCACTTCGCGGAACATCTGGGCTCTCCAAATTATTTTACAGCTCTTCGTAGTTCTTCTGGTAGAGTTCATTGCATTGTTATTCACGTCAAAATTTCTTATTTTGTTCAAAACGAGTTGTAATTTAAGGGTCAGGTGTCTAGCACAGCGAGAACACTGCGAATCCTTCCGAAGCTGTTTGAAGGAATGTTGTAAAATCGATACCCTTGCCTGTCTCACACTGACAAGTGAGCCAGTGAATGGGGTGTGATAGTCTCTCTCTCTCTCTCTCTCTCTCTCTCTCTCTCACACACACACACACACACACACGCACTCTCTCCCTCTCTCGCTCTCTCTCTACGCAATCATACGTGATTGTGGTTTGTATGAGAAATTCGCACGGGTAAACGAGAGCGAGCAAGTGAAGGAGATAGAAAAATATATTAATTGGGAGAGAGAGAGGAGGATTGTCCAACAGATGGTCACATCTGGCTCATCCTTTATGTGTGAATTTGGCACATCCCGTAAAGAATCATCTCAATTCAAATTCTGCTGACGTCTCAGCTTCAGCTTTCGGGTTAATTTATTAATTTATATGTCTGTCCATCTGTTTACTACTCAGATTAAAATACACCTTAATGATACAGATCGTCCTTCTGCTTGTCACTGTTGTATGGTTCAGTGTATTTGGTGCTAATGTGGCAGCCCATTATATTAAGGTCTGGCTGACACAATCCATTAACCGCCCACTCTGCAATTACTTTTTTATATGAGTATGTCATTTTTACCAATTAACTGTTGCACAAAACTTAATGTCAAAAACTGAAATCAGCAAAAACTACATTTCCAAACTGCTATCCCATCTGATGGGACTGTATGTTCTAACATAATAAAATATATACACATCTAATCAAAAGTATCACTGATAAAGTAACAAGATAATAGTGATATAGAAATGTGTTAAGGTTATAGTGCCGCAGTATTCTAATAACAGGTTTAAACTGCTACAGAGATGTACTGTTCTACTTTAGCAATTAATGCATTAACACAACACCTCCCCTTTAGAGATGCAGGTCTATTTATCAGTGTTATAACACCACAATGCTGCATTTATGTCATGCACTGTGCCTTACTAAAGTGCTAAGCTCTTCAGCACTGGGTTTGAGAAGGTATTCATGGTGGGGCAAGAAGAGACGGAAGGGTTGGGGGGTGGGGGGTTCATGTACTCCTATGGGGGTACACACTGGTTTCTGACACTGCAGTGGGTGGATCACGTGGCTCTGACATGAAAAGCCTCTTGCCTCGTGTAAAATAGCAGCATTAAAGAGATTCAGTCTGGAAGTGAGCTGTTTCATCCTTTTCCAAATTTAATGTGGGGCAAAGAATTCACTTCCAGCCATCTCCTGGCATCAACATGGACTTAGTACAATGCCATTTAAGTATAGCTGCACTTCGATGCTCTTCTAGTTAATGGTACTTGGTCTGAATTAACAATCTCCCAAATACTATGGAGAATCTGGTAATGCAATTAGAAGATGGGATAGTTAATACTTTTGTAACATAAACTCTGACACAAAAGCAGTTCCTTATTCAATTCTAGAACAATAACGGGTTTCCCCTAAAAACTCAACTATTACTGATTGTCAGCAAATGTTCAGGGCAGGTTTACTCAACAGACCATGACAATGCAACTATAACCTAGATTCATTAATGATCTGCAAATCTCTACTCAGTGACAATCACAGCACGCCATTTGCCAAGCAATAACTGCCCCACCCCCAGTGATTTCGGCCACTGCCCCTCAAAATGCCTGTGCACGTCCCTGATAGCAAGTGCCTTTGCTGAAATACAACAAACATTTAATTTCCAATTGGCAGTATTTCTGTTACATGACAAATGCAGTGATGTTACATTAGCACAAAGCTCAGACCAAAACATCCAGAGGACACTTATATTACAAAAATGTTTTGAGCTTCTTCCAGCTTAACATAGTGAATGGCATTTCAGTTAGTGCTATTCAACATATGTCATATTAGTGCTATTTCAATGTAGTAAACTTGAGATATGAATTCACCATGTTAAAAATATACAAATTCTGAATTACAAATTGAATTAAGGCATACCAACTGCAGAGACTGAACATGAGATATAACTGACCACAACATTGAATAAACAGAGTTCATTAAGAATCACTTATCTAAGTATAGGCAAGTCAAATACAGTCCAATATTCCGAATCCAAGAACGTATTAAAACATCTTTCAAATAAATATTGCCACCTAGTGTTCACAGTATGGAAATGCACAAAGGCCCTTCTCATCAACCTATCAGCTTTTTTTTTGTGATGAGTGTTGCATTGCGCACTTCCATTAGCTGAACCAGCACTATGCGTTTACATTATCAAATCATTTTATTGCTAATGTTTTTATGCCCACTGCATAACATGTAAACATCAACGCAATGATCCAAAGGGCAAGCACTTTACTATGCTCAAATGTTTAAACAGCATGAATCAAGTAGGCCTATATACTAATATTTCATGTTCTCAATAATGTTCTATGCACAAATTCCATCATTTCCAAGATATGGTACACTTATTTTGAAATGACACTTCAGCAAATTCAACAGAGGAGTGACAATCATTACATATGGCAGATATGGTGATTTGTGCATGATGTTTCCTGAACATGCTCCTCAGAATATGTGTCCTGGTTTCAAAACCCAATTTAGTCATGGGGCCATATGCAATCAAAACCTGAGGAGTGAAGCACCCCTGTGATAGAGCACAAAGTGTTTCATCAGTACATTTTGCTCATGACAGTAGAAGTAGAAGGTGAACCATGAATATATAGTATGTCTCACAGCAGCCATCAATTAAACACAATGGCAGTTTTCTGTGTTGCAGGATTCAAGCAAAAGTGGTGCAGTAAGAGATGGCTGGAAACTGCACAAAGAAAATGTAATATACAGTGCAGTCCAGAGGTAGACAAAACCATGCTATATCTCAGATACAAAATCAAGAATTTAAACCTGAAAGCTTGATTTGGAAAAATGTAAAACAAAACATATTATGTACAATGTTGAATAAATATTGCTTCTGCACTCTTCTTTCCTACGTCACACAGATGTTCTGGTTTTCAAAGAAGCACACATTTTTAAATCATGCTAGCATAACATGATCACCAGGTTTTGTACAAACATTGATTAATAATAATAATAATAATAAACGGCATTCTGTTACATTTAAAAAAATGCAAAACAGGAGCACTGTCACTCATTATCTGAGACTTTGGGAACTTAAAAGACAAACTTTCAGGGGCTAAGTAGCATTTCATATGCTAAGCATTTTGAAATAATGCATCTAATGAATGTACAATACCTAAAACAAATTAGACCATAAATGTATATTCAATTTAACTAGATCTGTCAAAGATGTGGTTAGTTATGATATAGGCCTTTTTTTCCATTCTGTTCTGTGTGATTATTAAGGACAACAGTCCAGTAAAAGGCAGTGATCTATACACTTTTTTTACAGGACAAGGGCCCCTCATTGGACAGAATGATGGAGAAGAGACCTGATGTAACATTGTATAAAACTGAGTATTGCATAGGCTTGGCATATTACAACATGTATAGTACACCAAAATACATTGCAAAGAAGAAGAAAAAAAACAAGCTTACAGAATCGCATTCTTGCACATTATGCTTTTAATCATCATTTTATCTAAAACATTTTAATGTGGGAGGTACAAGAAAACATTTAGTTTAACTTCAATAAAATTACCGTAGTTTGGCTGAAATTAATATAATATTACATTTTAAACAAATATTTATTTTTTAACAATAAATAATTTATTGTGAGGACAATAGCTACATCATTTTATTATAATGCATATTTGCACTGAGTTCAATGTTTCTGTTTCATGTGCTCTTTGATACACAATACATTCAAAGCAGTAAAAAATAATTGCATAAGAGATTGTATGTGTTGCAGCATGGTTGAATAGAACTGATCTTCTGTGCACAATTAAGTTGCCTGCAAAATAATGGATAAAAAGAAAAGGTGTATAGGTCAGCAGAGGCTTAATGAAGGTGAAGCCTAATGAAGTGAAGGATTACACAGCAGCAGCATAACAGTTAGGCACACTCCTCGTTGATTAATGCAATGTATAATAAGGAGAATATGTAGAATAAGGATGTGGCATAATCCTCAAAGTGAAGCTTGAAATTAAAATCATTTACTCACTCTAATGTTGTTTAATTTGTATAATAAGGAGAATCTGTAGAATAAGGATGTGGCATAATCCTCAAAGTGAATCTTGAAATTAAAATAATTTACTCACTCTAATGTTGTTGCAATTTTATTTATTTATTTATTTTTCTATGAAATACAATGGGAGATGTTGGGCAAGATGACAGCCTCGATCACCATGCACGTTCAGTGGTACTTCATACAATGAAAGTGATGTACAAACTGAGGAAGACTGAGGAAGGAAGAAAGGGTTGGAATAAATTGGAATTTTTTCTTTCTTTCTTTCTTTCTTTGTGAATTAGCCCTTTAAGATGCTTCTGAACAAGAGTGTGGATGCCTTTAAAGATCTTGAGTTGTGTAAATATTATAATTGTCAGGTTAGTATAGTAGGCTATATATCTTCTATGCTAGTATAGTATAGAATATATCTTCTGAATAGTAAATATTTTCTGAATGCACAAATGCACTTAAAAGTACT